GTCACACATCCCTGTTACATTCCCAGCTTTGACTACCCCCCCGCCCCGCCCCACCCCAGTTACCCACTGGTTTGAGATCTACACAACAGAAGTCTTTAAACCTTTAAGCGTAGTCAGGGGTCATTTCGTAGAAAAAGAGGTGCAGGAGCTCATTAGCATAACTCATTTGCATATGCCACACCCTCCTGACATCACCGGAAGTGTGTCAGAAGGCAACATCCACTGCTCAGGCTCCACTGGACTGTTTTGGTTTGCTAGCTATTGGGGGGGGGGAGTGCAGATCTGTCCTCACAGAGGAGGGGGAGCTCGTGCCTAAATAAAACTTGGTCTTAAAGGTGCCACTGGACTGTTTTGGACTGGGGGGCCTGGGGGAGCTCTGCAGATTCCCTGGCTGCTTCTTGCTCTGACTGAGGGCTGCTGGGAGCAGGGGGTGGGGCTTGTTGCATGTGCCCGCCCCCTGTGCTCTTTACTGCCGGAGCTCCGCTCCTGTGTGCTCCTGCAGGAAATGACCCCTGAGCGTAGTAATTATTAGTCATAACTGATATGACTAATGACCGATTTGGCTCACACAGTAAAATAAAGAATGGTCATTACTCATCAGCTTTTGAGAGTCAAAGTGTATCTAGCTTTGACTCATAAACTGAGGTCCCCAAAATCTTGTCGGTTTCTAAGTTCCTGCTGGACTCCAGCTAAGGGATGCCAGCCTCCAGGTGGGACCTGGGGATCCCCTGGAATTACAGTTTATCTCCAGACTACAGAGATCAGTCCCCCTGGAGAAAATGGACGCTTTGAAGAGTGGACTACGTGGCATTCTACCCCACCGAGACCCCTGTCCTCCCCAGGCGCCATCCCCAAATCTCCAGGAATTTCTGACCTGGATCTGGCAACCCTACCAGCAGTTGTTAGTATAAATTCACAAAGTACAAAGGGGAGAGATGTGTCTCCAAGCACGTATTGGCCATGTGCCGGGAAGTGGTGACCCACTGTGGTACTTCAGGAGTTTCCCAACCTGGATCTGGCAAACTTAATCCCCGCCCCCCCATCTCTCAGTATGGGGGGACCTGACAACCTTATAGATATCCAGTCAATGCTCCCTCTAAACTGTGAAGTCTTGTGAGCAAAAATTCTCCTTTGTGAGCTACCGGCATGAAAGTTGTGAGCGAGCGATTTGGCTGCTGCACAAATTAATTTGCTCTGGAGCCCTCCTTCCTGAGCTAAGGCAAAAATGTGTGAGCCGGAGGCTAAAAAACTGTGAGCTCACTCACACTCACTCCGCTTAGAAGGAACACTGCTCACCATTACCGGGGGGGGGGGGGGGCTGACAACCTTACTTCTTATACATAATCAGTAAAACTTGGTTGTTTTTGCTCACTGGATATGAAACAGCATCAGGCAGATTTCCCCACTGATTTCACTTCTTTAAAGTGATAGAAGAATTGAAATATGTGGGCTGTACTGTATAAAGGGGTAGGCAGAATTTCCCTCCCCCCAGAGAACGGTCTAAGGAACAACATAATATCCCTGACCCTAGGTAAATCTAGGTCCTTCTCCAAGCTCCCAGGAGGAGAAATGGAACTGGAGGACAAATTCTGCCTTTCAAAAAGGTGAACAGAATTCCTCTTTCACCTCTAAAGATACTTTGGGCCAGGCAGTCGTACCGGGAGGCGATGTGGAATGTCTACCCTGAACGCACTGAAATTTCAAACCGGAGCACAGATTTTTTAAAAAACGAGTTCAGGATTTGTCCGATCTGCTTTTGTAAGGTCTTAAAATATATTTTGGAACCTGTCCTATTCCCCCAAAGGCTTGGAGCCAGGCAAATAGGATGGAAATTATGGGCTAACGTCTTCGTAAAGTCTTTCTTCCCCCTAACTCGAAAATTGTTCTGGGATAGTTTTATTACAAGACACGCTAGCTGATATTGCTCTGAAGTAATAAAACGAACAAATAAAAACTCTGGTTACTTGTAGGAACATCTCAAACCACTCGCCCCTAGAATATGCCTCAAATCATTTGGAGTTATTTATCTAGTAATTCAGATTTTTTTAACCCATTCTCTCTCAAAACAATTCTGGGTTGTTTTTTTTGTTTGGTTGGTTTTGTTTTTTTAGGGGGAGGGATGGTAATAGAAGAAGAAGAAGTAGAAGAGACTGGATTTATACCCCACCCTTCACTCGGAGTCTCAGAGCGGCTTACAAACTAAATTCCCTTCCCTCTCCCTCCCCACAACAGATGCCCTGTGAGGTTGGTGGGGCTGAGAGAGCTCTTTCGAGGACTGCCCTTGGGAGAACATCTCTGAGAGAACTTGTGACTGACTCAAGGTCACACCAGCAGCTGCAAGTGGAGGAGTGGGGACTCAAACCTGGTTCTCCCATATTAGAGTCCACTCCCCCTTCAAAATCCCCACTCCTCCTCCACGCGAAACCTGCTGGGTGACCTTGGGCCAGTCACGGTTCTCTCAGAGCTCTCTCCGCCCCACCTACTTTACAAGCTGCCTGTCGTGGGGAGAGGAAGGGAAGGCGATTGTAAGCTGCTTTGGGACTCAAGGTAGAGAAGAAATAGATTGGATTTATACCCCACCCTTCACTCAGAGTCTCAGAGCGGCTTACAAACTAAACTCCCTTCCCTCCCCCTCCCCACAACAGACACCCTGTGAGGCAGGTGGGGCTGAGAGAGCTCTTTCGAGGACTGCCCTTGAGATAACAGCTCTGAGAGAACTTGGGACTGACCCAAGGTCACACCAGCAGCTGCATGCAGAGGAATGGGGAATCCACCAGGTTCTCCCAGCTTAGAGTCCGTGCTCTTAACCACTACGCCAAACAGAAGCACATGCTGAAGTTTCATAGATTTCATTAGCCAGAACTGCACTTGTAGCAGGGTTTGCCATCCTCAAAGCTGAGTTAGTGTGAGCTAGCCCACAGTCTTTTAGCCTCCGGGGGAAGGAGGGCTCCAGAGCAAACTAATTTATGCAGCAGCCAAATGGCTCACTCACAACCAATGCTCCCTCTAAGCTGTGGAGTCTTGTGAGTAAAAATTCTCCTTTGTGAGCTACTGGCATTAAAGTTATGAGTGAACAATTTGGCTACTGCATAAATGAGTTTGCTCTGGAGCCATCCTTCCTGAGCGGAGACAAAAATGTGTGAGCCGGGGGCTAAAAAACTGTGAGCTAGCTCACACTCACTCAGCTTAGAGGGAACAATGCTCACCACTTTAATGCCAGGAGCTCACAAAGTAGAATCTTTGCTCACAAGACTCCACAGCTTAGAAGGTGCACTGCCTACAACGCTGTATCTTAAAGACTAAGGCTGCGATCACACACACTAAAGAATCCACTTTCCAATCCACTTCCAAGGCACTTTTTAATTGGATTTTGCCTGTTCACACAATAAAATCCAGTAGGGAAGTGGACTGAAAGTGGATTACTTCAATGTTCCCTCTAAGCTGTGGAGTCTCGTGAGCACAAATTGTACTCTGTGAGCTACTGGCGTTAAAGTTGTGAGCAAGCGAGTTGGCTACTGCATACATTAGTTTACTCTGGAGCCCTCCTTCCTGAGCGAAGACAAAAGTGTGTGAGCCGGATGCGGAGACTAAAAAACTGTGAGCTAGCTCGCACTAACTCAGCTTAGAAGGAACACTGGTGTGTGTGTGTGTGTGTGATTGCAGCCTAATAAGATTTCTTTATTTTGGCATAGGGTTCCATCCACGTTGTCAGATATATGCAGTGGTTCCTCCCTAGGTAGCTACATACATGTTCAAGGTTATGAAGAAAGACATTGTAAAATAGCAGGATGAGGGGGAAACTGGGATTATTATTAACAGATTCAGGTGTCGGTCTGAAGCAGCAGAACAAAGTTATAGAATCCAGTGGGGCACCTTTAAGACCGACAAAGTTTTATTCAAGGTATAGGTTTTCGTGTATCTGAAGAAGTGTGCATGCATCATACCTTGAATAAAACTTTGTTGGTCTTAAAGGTGCCCCACTGGACTCTAACTTTGCCCCATTGTTATTAACAGTAATACAGCTATCCAATCAATGCTCCCTCTAAGCTGTGGAGTCTTGTGAGCAAACATTCTCCTTTGTGGGCTACCGGCATTAAAGTTGTGAGAATTAAGCTGAGTGGGTATGAGCTAGCTCACAGTTTTCTAGCCGCCCGCTCACACATTTTTGTCTTAGCTCAGGAAGGAGGGCTCCAGAGCAAACTCATTTATGCAGTAGCCAAATTGTTCACTCACGACTTTAATGCCAGTAGCTCACCAAGTAGAATTTTTACTCACAAGACTCCACAGCTTAGAGGGAGCGTTGGTCGTGAGTGAGCCATTTGACGGCTGCATAAATTAGTTTGTTCCGGAGCCCTCCTTCCTGAGCGAAGACAAAAATGTCTGAGCCGGAGGCTAAAAAACTGTGAGCTGGCTCACCCTAACTTAGCTTAGAGGGAACACTGTATCCAATATATAATCAGTAAACATATGCTTGGTTTTGAGCTTAAAGCAAAAACTCAGCTGTTCTTTAGCACAGGATTGGTAGAGACCACCCTCTTCGTAGTTGGATGACTGGCTGCCTTCTCCTTCCCAAACTGATAATTAATTAATCTCAATCAACACAAACAACTCTAAAATGAAGTCTCACTGCATCTCCATCCATAACTCCAGGTGGCTGGCTGAATCCCATGGTTTTTAGAATAGACCCCTTTCTCCAAAACCATTAACGGAGGTGTCAGATATATCCTCTCTTTCTTAGAAATACAAACCGTGGATTTAGATGGAAGCAACAGAACAAAGTTTTGAACCCAGGGGCACCTTTAAGACCAACAAAGTTTTGTTTGGGGCATAAGCTCACAGTTTTGGTTATAAGCTTCCAGACTCTCTGAAGAAGTGTGCATGCGCATGAAAAGCTTATACCAGGAATAAAACTTTGGTGGTCTTAAAGGCATCCCCGGACTCAGACCATGGATTTGACACTGAAAGTGACAAGACAAAAGGAATGTTGGAAATCTACTTACTGGGGTATCCGACCGCCGAATGGAGCAGATCCATGCCTGGGCCGGCCAAGGTTAACCCGTTGACGGCATAATGGGGCTGCTTGATATAGGACATCATACTCGGGAGGGTCGGGCACCCCAACGATTCCACTTGGCCTTCCGCAAGTCCGAAAGGGAGCCTTGGGTTCCTTCTCGAGGTCTACCAGGCCAGGATCCTAGGCTATCCTCCGGTTCTGCACTCAGGGTCCAAGGGTGGCGGGAACTGTAGAGGAGGAGAAAAAGACAACACAGATGTTTGTGGCCCAAGCAGGAGAGGGGTGGGGAGAGGACTGGCCAGTGGAAGCCAAGGATGGGGGGGGGGGCATTCACACCTTTCTAGTAGGGATGGAGAAAACTGGGACCAGCTTAAAGTGGTCGATGGTCTCTCTTTCCCAATCCAATCAAGACCCTCGGAGCCCCTCCGATGCTTAAACCGAGCCTGGGTCGTTTGCAAAAATGGCTTGGAGGCCTGTGACCTCATTGATAGTCAAAAATGACATTGCGACCACCCCACACACACACCTTTCTACACAGAGGGGGAGGGTCCAGAGGAGCCAAAGTTTTAGCAAAGTTTTAGCAACTCAAAAGGGGAAGCCATTAGGCCAATCGGCCCCACGCTTGGGGGGTCTATTCTTACCTAAACGAGCCAGTTAAGTCAAACATAGTTTTAAAACTCTGGAGGGCCCTTGGGGGGGGGGCGTTTTTCTTTTGTCGGAGAAGGGGCTGCCCCCGCTTGGTCCTGGGGGGAGCTTTGTGGCTAAACAGGGACTTCATTAAAACAGCAAATGGGAGGCTTAAGCAAAAAGACAACCTGGTTCTGATGCATACCTCCTTGGAGAAGACCCCCCTCCCCTCACTTTTCGTTGGTAAAGAAATGCTGAACTGGAGGGGACGGGACTGGATGCAACATGCACAGACTGTTGCGGCATGCCGTGGCATGGATCCAAAGTAGCAGGACACAGTTTGAGTCCACTGGCACCTTGAAGGCCGACAAAGTTTTATTCTGGGTATAAGCACCTTTTCATTGCATGCACACCAACAAAGACCGACAGAGTCTTATTCTGGGTATAAGCACATTTTGTGCATGCGCACGGAAGATTACACCCAGAACAAAACTTTATAAGAGCGTAAGAGACGCTGAACTGCAGGCTGTGGAAGGTCCGTAGTTCAGCAGTTCGAGACCCGGGTGCCGCATGATGGAGTGAGCTCCCGTCTCTAGTTCCAGCTCCTGCCAACCTAGCAGTTCGAAAGCAAGAAATTGCAAGTAGATAAATAGGGACCACTTCGGTGGGAAGGGAACAGCGTTCCGTGCGCCTTAGTGTTTAGTCATGCTGGCCACATGACCACGGAAATGTCTTCAGACAGCGCTGGCTCTTCGGCTTTGAAACGGAGATGAGCACTGCAACCCTAGAGTCAGATTCGACTGGCTTTCGAGCAAGGGAACCTTTACCTTTTAAGAAAAGCCAATGTTGGGTCAGGCCAATGGCTCATCCAGTCCAACACTCTATATCACACAGTGGCCAAAAATACCAGAAGATAGCCTTGAATTAGGAGCCATATGCCACAGAAGTAATTTCAGAAGTCTTCCATCTATGTAGAATTTATGTGTGAGGATTCTTTGATAAAGACAAAGAGACGGGCTGAAATTAAACCGGGAGCCCGTCAGAATCAGTCACATGCTGCATCGTGTAATAGAAGACGCTGTTGTTTGTTTCAATGGGTTGTTGTAAGAAGTGGACAATATTGTATTTTGTAGTACTTGTGTTGATGTAAATAACAAGGATTGTATGTCATATAATCCCTATTGAGCACCATTACATTATTTATAAGTAAATTTAAAGAAGGGTCCATGCATATTTGTTGTCATCTCATGGTATATATTTTGTTCATATTGGGTGCAGAAATACCAGAGGTCCAGCAGTAGGGCCGGGACACTAGAAGCTCCCCCCACTGTTGCCCCCCCTCCAAGCACCAAGAATACAGAGCATCCCTTGCCCCAGACTTTCTTGGTCTTAAAGGTGCCGCTGGACTCCAACTTTGATCTGCTGCGTCAGACCAACACAGCAGCCCACCTGCATAAATCCTAAGCAGGTTTACTCAGAAGTAAACCTTTGTTCACAAGCTCAGCTCAGCGGCAGTCACCCTCCTCTGCCAGAGGGTGATAAAAGTGACCTACCTCGCATGGGTGTCGTAAGGATTAGAAGGACAATGGAAGTGGATTGGAAGGACAATGGAAGGCATCTATCCACACCCACCCACACAGGTCGACAATACACACTCTAAGCATTATCAAAGCCTACACTAGAATCATAGAGTTGGAAGGGACCTCCAGGGTCATCTAGTCCAACCCCCCTGGACAACGCAGGACATTCACAAATACATTAGTTGCTGTAGGTTTTCCGGGTTGTGAGGCCGTGGTCTTGGCACTGTAGAACCTGACACAGAAAGATGGAATACTCCCTGTGTCAAGGAGGAGGAGGACCTTGACACAGAGAGCACTCCATCTTTCTGTGTTGTACCTCTGAGGATGCCAGTCACAGTTACTGGCGAAACGTCAGGTTCTACAATGCCAAGACCACGGCCACACAACCCGGAAAATCTACAGCAACGAATGAACTCGGGCTGTGAAAGCCTTCGGCAACATATTCACAAATACCTCCTAAATACCACTCATTTCTGATTAAAAAAAAAAACTACCCCAAAAGGCCAAAATTTGGTGGGCGTGTCCTAATTAATTAATTAACCTTGATTCATTTACTCGATTTATACTCTGCCGTTTCCGCCCCGATGGGGACCCCAAAGCGGCTTATGTCATTCTCCTCTCCTCTGTTCCCCCCCTCACAACAACTCTGCGAGGTAGGTCAGGTTGAGAGTCTCTGAGTGGCCAAAGGTCACCCAGCAAGCTTCCATGGCAGAGAAGTAGGTTTGCCAGCTCTGGGGTGGGAAATACCTGGAGCTTTTGGGGGGAGAGAGGCTGAGGAGGGCAGGGCTTGGGGAGGGGAGGGACTTCGACGGGGTAGAATGCCATAGAGTCCACCTTCCAGAGGGGCCGTTTTCTCCAGGGGAACTGATTCTTTGTCACTTGGAGACCAGTCGCAATCCCAAGAGATCTCCAGCCGGCACCTGGAGGTTGGCAACTCTGCAGAGAAGGGATTTGCATCTGGGTGTACCCGATCCTAGTCCGACACTGCGACACCACGCTGACTCGGAGACAAGGCTGACTTTAGGTTAGGCCCAGAGCCAAGTCTCATCCACGCCACGGAGGAATCAAGAGTACCTCAGAGCATGCACAGATTGCCTTTGCTTCTCCGGTGATTCCTCGTGAACCAGCTCTGAGAAACAGAAGCAATGTTTTCCAGGTTGCTGAATTAATTTGTAAGCGAGGGCCCTATTGGAAAACAATCCTTCATTTCTCTGTAGGGTTGCCAGGTCTGGGTTGGGAAATGCCTGGAGATTTTGGGGGTGGAACTCATCCAGAGGTGAGGAGTTATATCAGAGATGTGAGAATAGTCCCAGTCCTTTCTCTCCCCCCCCCCCCCCCTTGGGTATTTTTGTATTTTTG